TTAAGTATGATCAGACTATTGTATTCTCTTCCTTCATACAACAGATACATATATGTTACTCTTAAAAGTATTTTATTCTTTCTATATTTAATCAAATTATATAATGAGATTGAATAAAAACTCATTTTGATGTATCATAGAATATATATATATATATATATAGAACCATTGATAGAATCATTCACTAATGATAGAAATCATTTCTAGAGTACATGTGAATATACAATAATGTATTACCAAGTTTTTATATGCATAAAATTCAGAATTTTTACAGAAAAACCTGCTTAATTTCACATCTATGGACAAATATAGTATAGGTCTGACAACAATTTTGCAAATGAAGAAAATCTTATTAAAAGCTTTTCTATGTATGCATATTTCAATTGTCTATGGAATTAGATGATTATCAACAATTCACTCAGATATATCTTATGTTTTCTATTCTTTACAGTAAAGAAGATATATAAATGAAATATTTATTTTGGTGAGTAAAAATATGAGATCAATATAATACTTACATTTCCATACTCATATTGACAAATCCAATCTGCTACTCTGAAATATTTTCAGACTTATAAAATTTCTTTCGATTAGTACTTTTCATCATAAAATAATCGAAAGGTATACTATATTTTCTTGAAATATTAATAGAATTCTAGTTGACATGTGCGTCGTTAGGGTCAATCTGAGAATATGGCTAAGAACGTTTCATTAACTTTAGATTCGCAAAGATGTAGTATTAAGTTAGTAGCAACATCAAAAATTGATATTTAGACAAGGAAAGTAACAAAATAAGGTGCCGAATGTCTTTCGCTTTTCTACTGACTGAGGAAATTTGCATGCAATGATATATATGAAAGAAATCATATAGTTTATCTCATGTATTTTGTATAAGATATGTTATTCTTTTGTCGGTAGTAAGATGAAGGACAAACGAAAATAGTCTAATTAGTAAAAAAATTGACCGAAAGTCGAGAAGTGTAAGTTCGTATTGTATTCCAATTTTATGGTTGTTCTTGAAATACTTTTTCTTGCAATTTGAAATATATTTAAGTGCATAGTCAATAAATATTTTCTGTTTACATCTATTACTATGAAGTACGACAAGAAACCTATTTTGTTTGATTCTTAAATTTATGTTAAATATATCCGTCACGCATTTCAATTAGAGATCACTTACTGCTCCCAGATATTAAATAATCGGGTTTAACATTATTAACTGTTGTGTTCATGATTTCAAGCAATTAAACAGACAAACAATTATGTTTAGAGCTGCTCTTTGTGAGTCAGTATAAAATTCACAAATCCAAGCCATCTTCTCTGTGAGCTATTGTGCCCGAATATTTTAGCAGCATCAGTCAATACTGTCGTAATGATAAATGCTTCATCCTGACTGCAGATAACAGAGTTGTTTTACATTATGAGATTTAGGGAAACCATAGATCTTTTGAAGATCGTGTTTTTCAAAATTTATCGCATTCTTCATATTAGTTTTACAAAGATGAGTATCTCTTATAAATTCTTCTGAGCATGACACACCAAGCTAATCATTATATCATGAATATATCTGATTTATATTAATCAACAGGCCAAATATTATTGTCTATCGTCAACCTTTTTATGGAACACAAAAGTGATTCTTCAGCTCGATATAATCTATAATTGTTGATAAATCCAAACTATTATAATATAGTTATAACAAGAGGATATCATATGGACAAAATTTATCAAATTAAAAACTATATAGAAAGCTTCATAAATGAAAGAAGAACGCAAAAAGATTAAACATTGAATAAGAGTATATAATATTAAAAAAAGACAGTCTTTTAACTTATTTGAAGAAGAAGAAAAAGAAATACCCCGCCTTTCGGCTACCTTTCAGTATATGGTGATGTCCAAGGACATTTTCATAAGCCCGATATTCTTCCTACAACTATTTCTAGTTGTAGCTCTGGATAGAAAGCCGGTCTGACGCAGAGTTCTTTTCGCTTAATCACATAAACTCCCCATACATACTGACTAACCGCATACAAGCTACAAGAGCTATATTGTATGTCATCACGTAACCAGCATGCTATTGGATGGGTAGTCCGAGACAATTAGCCGTTAGTGACTTGTTCAAGGTCATTCTATAGCTGATAATACCGAGGTTTGAACACAGTACCTTGTGAATACGTGTCGAACAACGTAACCACTCAGCCATGGTGGCTTAACTTATTTGAGAGTGGGTGAGGGGTGTGGCGGAATGAGAGTGAGTGTAGGTGGTGATTGTGGGTGATGGGCGGTATTGGCAAATTGTGACAGTGTGGATGAGAAGCGGTGTGAGTGTAGATGGTGGATGTGAGTGTTATGTTAGTCTTACTATGACACCCACACTCACCCAAACCCACACCTACACCCATACCCCACACCCTCAAGAAATTAGTTTTTGATGGCCATTTGACTTGATTTCGGAGTTTTAAAAGAATATGACAGGATCGTTGGACAATGTTTATTATCCTATGCATATATGTTGATGCGCTCTACTTTTATGTAACTTTTGTATTGATATTCTTATTAGGGACTTGGTACTTATTCAGAATGAAACTAATCAACTTCATTATGATGCTTATAAATGGTTATTTTTTATTTTTTTGTGAGAAATTTGTTTACCAATAGATGAACAAGACATGTGTCTATTCAGTTGCTAAATTCAAGCTCATTTGCTTACCTTTTCTTTAAGATATTTGAGTAAAAACGTGAAAATATAAAAAATTTCTTCTAATTTTAGTCATATGTTCTATTTCTTACGTTTAAATATTGTTTAGAGAAACGAATAAGATGCGAATAATTTGGTCTATTTACTCACAAAGAATTCGTTTATTTACATAATTATGCAAATACGCGACTGTGTATCAATACCAGATGAGCATGTAATCAATGCAAACTTTTTGTTTAAGAATATATCGGTTTTGACTATCTCACGCATCATTTGATCCTCATCATCGTCATAGGAAATGATTTTTTTCCCTTTGGAAAAGTTTTTTATCCATTCTCGCTTATTTGTAGTGCCGGACGTAATTTGGACAAAAATAAACGAGTCTTTTTCGCTTTGCGATTTATTTTGTGTCACCTTCACTGCATAGGCTAATTCTTGAAAGTTGATGCTACTATCACAATAAGCATTCGATACCAAGACGATAAATATTGTTGCACGTCTAATAGCCACAGCAACATGATCCCACAAGTCGTCAGACCCGCTAGCCTTTTCGTAATCAACCCAAATTGGCATCTGTGCGAGTGGACGTAATTTTTCCACAAATGATAAGCAAAAACCGATATCAGCCCAGTTGTAACTAACATAGACCATTGGTTGCTGTTTAACTTTTAATGGATGAGATGATGCTATAGGATTTGTATCCATTGTAAGGTTGCAAAAAATCCGTTTGGCAATATCTTGGTTTGCTCTTTTGGCAAGACTCTCAATAAGAACATAAAAATGATTCTGCTTGTTCAACTCTTCTCGATATTCGCGATAATTAGAGATGCATAAAAGAATTTTTAATAAACACTTTCCGACGAGCTTTTCTAGATCATCAGCCTCTGGATTAAATAATGATCCATAAATAGATGTCAGAAGTTTTGCAAAAAATTCTATTGGCTCTGATTTTACAAATGATTCGCCACTCAGAATGTGTCGTACGATGGACGTATTCGAGAAAGCATTTTCAAGTGCGTTGAGCAATTCCGACAAATGATATCCCTCGGATCTCCAATTGTTACCTTTTATGGCAGCTTCCGTACACAAATGATATAGCTTTTTACTAACCTTACAAATGAAATCTTTATTTTCTTCTTGTTCATCATCGCTTGTAGCTAATGCAATCAATGACATGCCGAATACTTTTTCTAGATTCCCAAGATTGTCATTACCTTCTAAATTCAATGACGATTTGTGTTTCATTAAAATTGTGTACGCATGGTTTGATCGCAAAATATCAAATCCACGCTTGCTCCTCGAGATATTGTGAAGAATTGCTATGACTGCTGTATCAATGTTTTTCGTAAATTCTTTAAATGATAATTTATTGATCCATTTGACAATCGCTTCGGCATATTCCTCTTTGGCAAAGATAGGCGCAAGTCGAATTTTATCGGTCAAATTCCATACGAGGCCTAAAATCCAACTTACTGTATCCATATACATACTACCTTTGGAAAGATTATCGTCATCGGCAAAAAAGTCGTCAATAATTATGTGAATATCACGAATGAGAAATTCGTATTTTTTGCTGAATTCATCCGCCGATCGAATAACTGCCTTCTCAGCAAAACCGGAAGTACATTGCACAATTATAATTAGAACTCGTCTGAGATCAGTGCGATGACTTATTGAGCATTGCTCATGAGTTGTGTCAGACCCTAAATATCTTGAAAATTGTCAGTTTCTTTAAAACATAAGCCTGAATTTGTCTTTTATTTATTCTGTCCAACTAATCAGTATCTTTTGTTTTACTCAGCTCTAGGGGAAACAGCGGACTTCAAGACTTCAAAGATTTCAAGAGGCTCCAACAAGGGTGGGTGGGTGAGTGTGGCTCTCGTTATGACCGTGTGCGTATTGTGTCTGTGATAGCGACACCCACACCCACACCCTCAGGACTATGTCTTTCGCAAGATAATAAAGTAGAAGAAATTGAAAATTCTAGGATCATTCACGACATACGTATGATTTGTTTTGAAACTTTAATATCTTGATAAGGCAACACGCTTTTAAACTGAAATTTACTGAAAATTCTACTCTCTGATAAATCTATATATGAGTAAAACTCTAGATCGAAATACCAACATTCAAATTGTTGATATATATCATATTGTAGACTGAAGTTTTAGTAGAACGACCATAACTTTGGACAAAAGTCCTATGAAATTGATTCTTTTAAGATTTTTCATGCCTCACCAATATCAACCGTACGTAAACAGTCTGAAAGAAAAAGATTCGATATATTGAAAACATCTTCGCGTAAATAGTTCAACTCTTCATTTCAGTGCTAATAGTATTGTGTTTCTGTAAAATGTTAAATTTTTGCAACAGTAATAGGAAGAAGAAGTACATCACGCTACTAATCATAGATAAGATTACCTGTTCCTGATGTCACCTTGTTTGAATAAAATAAATTGACAAATTTTTTGAGAAAATTATCTTTGGCAAAAATTGTCAGAAGTGAATCGAGTATATTGGGAGCATAATTGTTAATAAATTTATAATTTTCTAATTCCCTGTCGTGCGAGTCAGAAATGCCTGCGGTAGATTCGTCATCATCCTCTGTTATTGATTCACAGATTTGAGACAAATACGTAGCAAAAACAGTAATTATCGATTGAAAATGTTTTTGTGACATAATAATACTAGATTTATCGATAATATATGAACGAATAAGTGTGTTCAATGTCGCAACTACAATCATTGTTCGTTTCTCAAACGGCATGCCAGATTCGATCACTTCTTTGAAATTATCAACGACGTAGGTACAGCTTTGGTCAATCTCATCTGTGTTGCTAAGAATTTCTACGGTGTTATTAAGATTTTTTGAGATAGTCGAGAACCATGTTTCGAGCTTTCCAAGATGACTCATGTAAATCCGCTTTTCTTCCCTGCCGTTTTTTGGATTGCTGTCTCCCATCTTGAGAAGAAGTAACGACATTTGCTTGAAAAAATATGAAACTCAATGAATTATTATTGACAGAGTAAAGCGGTGAAAAAAAACCCTCATTCAGAAATTTTACGTATAAAGAGAGTAGATGCATTATACACAAGACCTTCACCATCAGCCTTGAAGTGAATTAATGTTTATTCAATGGTAGCGCATAACACAGCCGCAAGCATAACTATTCCTTTCTGTTCTCCGTGCTGTTCGATCAACAGTAGCTAAAGTAACCATCGTCAACAGAAGAATTTCTTTGAATAATTACTTCATGCTGTTCACTTAAATACAACTGGCCGTGAAACAGGTTATAGTCTACGAAGATATTCAATAAGACGAAGTTTTTTTTATTAAGAAAGATGACATCAGTTTTGGAGAATCATTCAATGAATGATGTATGTTCCACGTAATTTTTTATCTTTATTATTCTTTATATACATTATTTTAGGATAAGAATAAAAATTCTCCAGCATGGTTTAAAGCCATGAAACGCGTACAGTTGGAAAAGCGTATATGCAAAACATTCATTTCACAAGAGTACACACATCTATTATAGTTTTTTGAAATTTCAAATAATTAAATGATCTTCTTTAAAATAGAATTAATATAGATCGATGCGTCTGTAACAATCCTGATCATAAGAATGATAAATGCCAATCGAACAAAGTATGGAATTGGAAAGATCATACCGAAGAAAAAACAACGGAATGCTATGGACTGCTCCCGCACTTAAACCTTCCAGTATATTACATGAAGATTGATAGAATAAAACAATTTTATATCTTTTTTATTTAGTTTTTACGCTGTAAAATTGATACAGAACCTGACCAACTTTGCTTAGTGTTATTGGGAGTATGGGGTATGTCCATACCTAGCTTGATTATGCGAATGATTGGTGATGCAAATTCGATATTGAGTATCAAGCTAGAAAGAGAAGTTGTACGAGGAATTTCGGATGCTGCCGTAGCATCGAGTAGATAGACAATATAAATCAAACTAACAAAACAAAACTCTCCCATATTTTAGATGCATGGATTATGACAAGTGGTTACAAAGAAGAAATAATTTCAGAATTGATCGGTGAAATAGTCTATAAAAACCGGGTAAAAAATACTGACGTTAATTTTAGCGCGATCGCCGTCGGTAAATGGGGAAACATTCAAGATTGTCGCAAAATCAAGGAAAGGTTCGATGATAAACTGATTTAATTCATGATAACCAAATGTTGAACTCATGAAAGAGTCCGTGAGAGATGTCCAAGGACTATGGTTTGAGAATTTTTTTAATTCCTTTACAGACTAGCTGAAATAACTATAATTCTAGAGGAAACGAGAACTAGCATTCATACTCCTAACATTTTCGTCTTATTTTCTTCATAAATTCCTCGAAAAAAAAACGACAGCAAACATAAATGACTGCATTTCATATGCTCACTAAATACTAAAATCCTTGTATACATCAAAGAAATTAACTAGTCGACAATTTCGAAGTTGGAGAAGTGAAAAAATAAGAAAAACTAATCAGCTGCGGCGTGATCGGGGAGGGGGAGACAGTGATGTTGATGCATAGTATTTATATCCACCCACACCCACATCCAGATCATCGCCCATACTCACACCCACATCCCCACCCACAACCACGCCTAAACTCATATCCATACCCACATCCACACCCACAACCATACCTACACTCATACCCACATTCACACCTATATTCACAACCACGCCTACACCCACACCCACACGCACACCCACCACACTCACCCACACCCTCAACCATGCCTACACTCACGCCTACACTCATACCCACACTCGCAGCTATATCCACAACCACGCCTACACTCACACCCGCACTCACATCCCCACCCACACCCACACCCACACCCACACCCACACCCACCCACACCTACACCCACCCTCGATAACATTAAAAAAAGAAAATAAAAAAATTTCTGAAGTCACTTTTGTTTGTCTTCATTTCCTTTCGACGAATTAACGGTTTAAATAAGACGAAACCGTTAGGGATATGAATGTTAGTTCTTATTTTCTCTAGAACTATAGTTGTTCTAGCAAGTGTATGAAGGATTTTCAAATCTCAATCATTGAACACTCTTAAACGCTTCATACTCTAGCATGATGTTCGATGATCTCATAAAAGCTCTTTTACATTTTATATTTAATGGTATTCTATCTGTCTAGTGACGACCGCGATATTAATTCTCATCGATATAGCCGATACACATTGGAACAAAATCATACTCATTATTTATTTTTTGATGATGGTACATACGACTCGGCAGATAATGGTGGATTCATTTCCAGAATCGCACGAGAAATATCGCGTGGAGCAGAGCGCAGAAGTCAGTTTTTTGATTAACTAGTAAATTCATTCGTATTCGTATACATATATACTTTTGAATTTAGTACCACTTGTTACTATTTTGGTTGGAGGGAATCTTTATGCATTAAAATCGATATGGAAAGATCTCAAAAATCAAGTTTCACTTGTTATTGTCGATGTAAGTTATAAAAATACATTGTAAAGACATTAAATAGTTTAATTCTTTTCATCACACATAGCAAAGTGGACCATTGGCTAATATGTTATGTAGATATTTGCAAAAAACAAAAGGTGAATCATCGTTTGTAAAATATTTGTCTGTTAAAAATATTTTCATTCCAGATATTTCCAGAGCGAACACTAATCAAGATCAAGACGAGTACGGTGATGATGATAAAATTACAAGCGATGATGAAAATGACATTGATGATATATTCATGCTTGAATCTTCTTTGGCTCAAGTTGATGCTGAAAAGTTATCTAATTTGCCGCAACGCAAGTAAGTTAATGCAAAGATGAAAACTTAATCTGTGATTCTGATATTGTTTTGAATAGTTTGAAAGAAGCTTTGAAACCATTTGGGAAATGGCGCCTAGACATTTACAGGGATTTGCGAAAACTCTACGATTCATTTCGACAAGAAGTATACAAAACAGCTGGCAATGGTTTATCTCCAGATGAATTATTAAGTTTGGATGAAAAGAAAACTCTTGCAGAATACCTTTTCTGGTTTGTCACCTGCCTGAACACTCCATTTCGTGACAATATACATATTTTCGATTCCAATTCATCAATTTTTTTGAAAAACACGATTTATAATGCTACGGTTCAAGGTTAGTCTCAAGTAGTAATTCGGTTTTCATATTGCTTATTTTGTTATGGAAGCTTGTGTTAAATTATGTTATATAAGGCTAAAAATTGATTGTTGCATCTTGTTCTGTAATAGACATCTGTCACTTCAGCTCTTTACGAATAGAGAGTGAGAGATCAGTACGTATGAGCGACGCAGGTTAATTGAGTTGCAACGTGAACAATCAGGTAGAGTCGCCTCGCACACACCACAGAGTCTGAATCGAACCGCATTTTCTGATTCGAGTTCGTTTCAGTTCAACTTCGATATTTCCTACTCATAACCAAAAACTAGAGTTGTACTTCATTTGTAGATAACGAATACATCGTAATATCACTCGACTAATGTCCATACAGTAACATATTCCAGTAAAACAAACAGTTCACCATGCATCTGAGATTCTTTTTAATCTAGTTTCACCTTGTATTTGTATAAAAATAACATCGACAAGGTGAATAATAGAAAACACAATGAGAACTATTATTTTAGCAAACATTTTTAATTTTGGAACACGATATATTGCTTTAGAAAGAAACATTTTCGCTAGAAATCCATATTTATTTCCATGCACAGTTAAAAATCCTGATAAAATATATAGTTGTGTTTGAACTGACAAATGAGAATCCGAAGGTTTAGCCAATATCGTTGGAAAAAAACAGGATCTTCTAGATTTTGAGAACATTAATATTAAACAATCTCAAAATAGGAGTGAGAAATAAATGATAATGAATAAACTGTTCAAAGATAGTAGTCTTTCATTAATTAGACGAATGTCCGCCTATCTGCTGTCATACAGGAGTATAAGAAAAATAGAAAGTGAAATAAATTAAAGAAAGGCGTCGCATACAAATGATCAATCGTGATGAATACAATGACTATGATTGTTATGAAGAGAAAACACAACGATACATTAAGGTTTCATTAAGAATACAGAACGATCGGTCACAGATGGTTTGATCATTGTTAGAAAATAGATGTTAATTCAATGATTCATTTTTCTTGTATTTGCATTCATTCAATTATATTTGGAAGAATGGTTCGAGTTCGGTTGATTTTCGGGCTCTGACACAAACAGAATACCTATTTACAAATTTTTTTTACGATTTTGTGTAAAATATGAATATCTGAGAGTACGAAATGTAATTGATCTGCTTTCATCACGAGAGGACATTCTCATTTCGGTCGCGTCCTGTAAGAAACTTCTTCCATGTATCGATCATACTGAGACAATGGATTAAAGAGCATAGTAATATGTATATCAGGATCTGTAGCATAGAACAAAGACCAAGCTCATTATTTGCTGCGATATTTCTTAAGCGTCATATTACATACGAAGATATCTTGCTATTCGAGTTGAATTAGAAATTACTACACAACATTTTCTATTATTAGCAATGAAAAATCTGTCAAAAGTCACCAACACTCGTGGCATGACTGCCAATGATGAAATACGTCTAGCACTTCATTGGGGCATTCCAGATACTACAGGAAATCAATTAGTTATTAATACAATGGATTTGAACGACTCAAAAAAAGTGCATTATTCATGCTTTCATTTTGATATGCTTAACAAGCTTTTTTCGCTCTAGATTAAACATTACAAGTCGTTACTACTCGACGCGCTAAGTAGAAATCAGCAAGTATTTGTCCATAATTTTGTTCAGTTGGATATCGATCTTTCCATCTTGTTTGCTCCTAATACCGCTTCATTTTATGAAACGAATTGGTCCGCCAAAAACACTTATTTAAAAGAGTTATATTCGGCAAAAAAGCGCAAAAATGTGAGTAAAGTTTTTTGATTTGAAAACTTTACATGAAAATTTGTATTTTCTACAGACGGATCAACTCTATCTGTTAGATAGGATCAATCAAACAATCGATTTCCAAAGGGAAGATGATTTGAATACTATTCTCAAAAAGGTCGTGGGTGATTTCATGAAGCCGCTTTATCAGCTTCCATCTGAAGTGGACTTAGAACAGAAAAAAACTGAGTCTCATAAAAATGTTGAAGAAGTTTATCGTGACATATTTCTCTGGTGTGTACTAACTTACCGACTTGCGATGGCAAAAATTATTCTTGGTCAGATGAAGACTCGTATATGTTCAGCGCTTGTCGCTTCCAAAATCTTAAAATCATTAACACGTTATGCACCGGATCATGATTCAAAAGATCAATTATGCTCAGAAGCGGACATTTTCGAATCATATGCCATCGAGTTCGTCCGTTGCTCTTATTCGTACAATAAACAAAAAGCGTGTGAATTGATTATGAGACGAGTAGATGTCTATAAAGGTGTTACATGCCTTCAAATGGCTATGGCTGCAGATACAAAGAAATTCTTATATGAAGATGCATGTCAAGCTCTGCTAACTAATATATGGTTTGATAAGGTCGATCCAGTTCGAGAACGAGCTCGTCTTTCTATCAATATACTCACACTGGGAATCTCGCAGCTGTTAATCTCCACCTATGAGAAATGCTGTAAAAACACTCGCAAAACGAAACAGGAAACGAATATAGAGGTGAAGCTAAATTTTCTAAAACTATTTAATCATTTTATTATTTGATAGGGACCCGCATTGAAACGTCCAGAACGACGGTAAAGTACTTAGTAATCAATTATAATATAATCAAAGAATAATTTAGATTGGAGAAATATGGTATTGATTACTCGGACGACTATGGCAAGGACGAATCAATATTCCGACATTTTATTCACTTTCACAACACACCTGTTGTCAAATATTCCTATACCTGCGTAAGTCCATCTAATGTAATTGCATCTTTTTATACTGTATTAGTCTTTGTATATATTTAGTTTGGCTATATCCTTTTCCTGCTTTTCTTCAGTTATTATATGCTCTATGCATTTGATCCACGATCAGATTCCACTCCAGACATTCATTGGACTGAGATATTGACTATAATCACTGTGACTACTATGCTTTTTGAAGAATTTCGACAGGTCAGCACATTACATTTCACTCTGAGTGTATATGTCATCAAACTCTTTTATTTATTAGTTCTACTTTCAAAACGACAACTCTCTGAAGAGCAAGTTTTTAACCTATTTTGATTTGGATAACCAAGTATCGAATCTATGTCTGATTTTACCAGCGTATGTTCTCTTCTATGTCGGCCTTGTACTACGTTTTGTGTTGACAGACGCTGTTGATTTTTCAGCTGCGAGGTATATTATATAATTTTGAAACATTTAATGAATGTGTGTATGTATTTATAGAATAGTGATGGCTTACGATCTGGAATTGTGGTATATTCGTGCGGTTCTCTTTGTCGGTATTTCTCCAGATTTAGGTCCGAAACTAGTGATGATTAGAAAGATGGTGAACAGATTGTATTAATGTTATATATATATTAAGTTTTTATTGTTGTAGACAACCGATCTCTTGTTATTTATATTCATTATTGTTGTTGTTATTTTTGGCTATGGAGTAACATCACGATCCATGACAGCCTATCGCACTTTTGATTTTGATGGACGACAATTTTTTCACAACGTAGTCTATCCAGTTTATTACTTTGTCTTAGGTAGTTTCGATAATGAACTTTCACAATTAGATGGTAAGATAAATACAAAGAAAAAACTATCATAGCAATTATTCATCTATGTATGTACATATGTCTTTCTTAGCCACACCGGATGCTAGCACCAGTATAGCCACTCATATCATGTTTGCATTTCATATGCTCTTTGTTAATATACTACTACTTAACTTGCTTATTGCCTTATTCAGGTATATAAAAATTAGACACGTTGCTTAGACAATAATGAATATAAATAATTTTACAGTAACACAATAAACGATGTTCAAACACACGCAAATCACGTTTGGGCTTATGATCGTTGTGCCCTTATCCGTGATTATTATAATCGACCAGCACTATTTCCTCCATTGACATTTCTTGTTTCAATATACCAGTTTTGTGACTGGTGGTGGCCACGGTGCAGAACACAGGAACAAAAATTGTCATGTTTCAGTTAGTAGCATGCTACTCTCTTGAGTATCATAGCATTAAAACAGTTATGCAATAAAGATTGTATATAATTATTTGATCATATTATTTTTAGAAATGATCCCAAAGGATCCTGATCTTGATAACGAATGGTCAGTATTCGAACGATTCTCAACGAATGATTACATTCGACAGTTGCTCGATGCACAAGCAAGTGCAGCTGCAAATACAATGGACAAAGAAAACGCGTAAGTAATTAGATATACTGCTCATATATTTAATAATTCTTTGGTTTGTATTATCCATATAACTGTATAAATAAGTATAAAATCTTCAAGAAGATGAGTTCGAAATACTATTATTTAGAGATATCAAATAAGACAATACAGTTGTCTTTATTTGAATGAATCATTTTGATTGTGAGGTTCTCATTTTGGAAATGTAGTATATAATTTCAACTTCCGATATATTCGTAGATTAAAGAGCAAATTTTAAGGCAAAACAAGTTTCACTAATATTGAGAATCTCACTGAAAAAAGCCTACCACAGTATAATAATAATATATTTTGATGACGATTATCCGCAAATGATTTTGTTGATATATATCAATAAGGATGTATAGATAATAATAACAGGATGATGAACAATGGTAATAATAACAATGATGACAACCACAAATACCTGAATAAACTCTCACATGAAAAGATAGACAAAAAACAACAGACTAATTGATAGAGAAATCATATATATATATATTACGAAAAACACAACGGGTAGAAAACAGAACTACGCAATAGTTAGTAGAAAAAATTGAAATGACGCAATAAAGAAAGGGCATCGTGTTCTCATGATGATCCATAATAAAGTACATATACAACAGGAAAGAAAGAAAAGATATGTATGCGTACTAGAGCTCGAATCGACCTGCATTTTTCTAAGTTAAGTTCGGTTCGGTTCGACTGAATGGTTAGAGAAACGGTGTAGGTTCGTTTTTGGGCTATGATGCGTACGACTAGTAGGATAGTGCATGCGGCAGAAAAAAAAACAAAGAAGAAAACAAAGATATATATATATATATATGTAGTAAATACCAGTTTACATCATAAAGTAACAACAGTTGACGCTAATATTGATAAATGACAACTAAAGGAATATATCAGATAAACTTGAAATCAAAAAATTAAATGTATATAAAAAAATACTGGAAATATTTCCGTCCGAAAACTGATTTTTCTATTTGTAGTTGTCTTTCTAACTAACTATTAAAAATTTTCACTTTTGGAAGATGTAATCCAGTGAGACAATAACGGAGATTTCGATCATATGGTCTTTTGGATATTTGAAAAACGTTCTTAAGCGTCAAGTATGTCTATGTATACTCTCGTAGATGAATAGAACACAAGAGTTATTGAATAATCGAAGGAGACCGCTATCATAATGCAACATCTGTCATTTGTTTCATTGATATTTATAGATCTGATCAATTAACGACTACGACTGATAGTTCGAAGTGGCTTAGATCCGATATGAATCAATTGAGAGACGAATTCACAACTTCACGGATCGATACTACTATTCAATTATCATCGATGGATTCTACTGTTTCTTTTCTAGATAATCGAGTCGAACAAATCGACAATAGTGTCAAAAATTTGACGATACAAATGGTGAAAGTAAGTGTAAACATGTTCTTCTCTTACTACATCACTTTTTATTTCTATTCAGTTTCAAGATTCACTCAATTGGATCATGACAGCCATGGCACGTGTCAAAATGGATAAAGATCCTCCATTATTCCAACAAGCTCTGCGTAAGCTTATTATGCACTTATGGCCTAAAAGAAACTAACTTATCGAAGAGATCTAATCGAATAATGGAGTGAATAAATATACAGTAAATTTAGAAGTTTTACGTCTAAAACTCCACCAGATTGGGGAGAGACAAACTATTCTTCAAAAGTTATAGTTAATGTATTCAGTTAAGCCAATTCACTAAATTAATTATTTTCTCACTTTTTTGAGAAGGAAAGGAGAAATGAAATGATAGCGATAAAAACAATATATTCCGGTATTTTTTATTCGTCATGTCCGGCTAATGGTCAACTACAGCGTTTCAAGTAAAACTTAATTATTTTCGAAAGCTAACTATGCCATTCTGTAGAAGAACTTGCTGTGTCACAAAATGTGATTTATTTCGTTTTTTCGCGGAGTAGTAAGGAAAGCTATATAAGAAAAAAAAGATGATTGCACTTCTTTTAATTTATCGTGATTTTCGTTTCATCGAGAAAAATGAGTTAAGAACACAGAAGCGTAATTAAAAACTGAAGGTAATTGATAGAAGAAAATGGTCGACACCTGAAAACTTCCAACAGATCTGAGGTGGGCGCGTTACCAAATAGGATTTTTAGTTTATTTCACCCCATAATCACAAAAGTATTCTATTAGATACTAAGGCACTTTCGCTAACTCTTGATGGATCATTAGACAGCAGGCTTATTTTATTTTTTATTCATTTCGTTTTGCTGACAGAAAAAAGGTAACACACGCACACATTCTGATACCGGGTGAAAGAATGATTGCAACATGGAGTGTCTTACGAATATTTCAACACAGAAAAATCTTATAACGTTGAATTTTTTTAAAAAGATGCGCTGTAAAGTTCTCTACAAGAATAGTAATAAAAACTCCTATTGAGTTTCTATAATGGTTTCTCACAAGATTAAAACTAAATTATTGTGAATGTCCCATGATACAAAATATTTGAAAGACTTTTTTAATTTTGTTATAGCAAGTTGTTCACATAGCTTTAGTAGAGCTTTCGACGGCGCGTCTTTTTAAAAAAAGTCAAGACATTATTATTTTTCGATATCAGCATATTCTCAATATATAAAGTCTTTCAAATATTTTTGTTATACTAAATACCGTAGGACATAACATCGTCATGTGCCTTATTCATTATGATCGTCGAGGATACCATTTGAGGAAATTAATAGGGAGCTCTTCTTACAATTTTTGTACAGCTTTCCACAGCGTATCTTTTAAAAAGAAAATCCAGCCTCTAGCATTTTCTGAAGCCGAGGTTTATACGAGATAAAAAATGTGGTAAACATTTTCGAACACTTGGAAGCAATATCACGTAGATTTTTAATTTTAACGAACTAGAGAGTCATCAGAGCAAGTCAATTGGTACTTGTCCATAGAACTTTCGACGGTGCATCTATTGAAAAAATAGTCAAGATGTCATCATTTGCTTAAGTCAATATATTTACAAAATGAAAAAGTCTTCGAAATGTTTTACGCCGTGGGACATTTCACCATTTCATAGTATTTCAGTTTTAGCTTGATAGGAAAAGTATTATAGGAACTCGGTAAGAGTTTTTATTACTATTCTTGCAGAGAATTTTACGAAGCGTTTTTGAAAAAAACTCGACGTTATAGGATTTATCTACGCTGAGATACTCGTAAAACACTCCATGTTGTAATCATTCTGGTTCACCTGATAATTATAATATCTGGAGGGTAAGGGTGAGGGTCTTTCATTGACTGTCATATTCACCCACTTCAAGATTATCAAGGCACTTGAGGCGAAACCTATAAACATAGAACAACTCTCTAACATGCGTCGATGCACTAACGAGGGAATATACTGAGGTGTTCAAGCCCTTAAAGCCCCATATCTTGACCGTAAGTAGACCTCGATGAGGTATGAAAAACCTAAAGATAATTCATCCCGTCGTGCCTTTCTTTCGGAATTATGACCGTTTTACTGAATTCTCGATATGTCACAAGCTGTTTCAGAAGAATTCGAATGATATATATTCGACCTGAAATTATGCTTATAAATAGATCTCATCGTACTTACAATCTTTTACAAGTTTCAGTTTGAACTGATGCTTACGTCTGGAGATCATCCAATTGCGAAAATCTCGTGCTTTATCAATGAAGCGAAAAACGCTGATTTGTCTTGGAAATTCATTCCGTTGTGAAGATACAACCAATGCAGGCTTAGACTCGTAGAAGATTGTAAGTACGATGAGATCTATCTACGGGCAAAATTTCAGATCGAATATGTGTCTTTCGAATTCTTCTGAAACAGATTGTGACATATCGACAATTCAGTAAAACGGTCATAATTCCGAAAGAAAGGCACAACGGGACGAATTATGTTTAAATTTTTCATACCTCGCTGAAGTCTACTTATGGTCAAAAGATGGGACCTTAAGGGCTTGAACGCCTCGGTATGTTCCCTTATAAGTTTCAAAGCACTACACTTAATCGTCTGAGATAAATGATGAATCAAAGGGTCTGGAAGCGTGAATGCGTTACCTGCGGACGAGCCCTATGTTCTTTTCAATATAATATTATTTTTTTATATATTCATTAGGATCATCTGTGTCTTATCAAGGGCGATCAGAAAGATCTGAAAGATCTGAAAGTGTTTCTCAAAACCAACAAACGAGTACATTGGTTGTGCCTTTTTCACATCCACAGGGTAATCGAAAGCCAACTACAACAACCGATGAATTGCAGGAATTTAACGATGGGTACGACAGCTGAACTTGTTATGCGAATTATTCCATATTAATTTGTGAACTTTTAATTGTTTGTTTTTGAACTCATAGCAAACATGAATTGAATATTGACTGTGAGCACTCATCTGTGCTTTATCCTAATTGGAATGGATCCCGAATGGCTAATATTACCATAATAATATCTTTTTTATCTTTCATAATATGGTCTTCCAACAAAACTTCATACATCTAATCTCATATCGACTATGAGCTTATTTCGTTGCCTTTCCTTATAGTAGCAAAAATTTTAAAAATTTAAATTTAAAGAGATTTTGCTCCGCGATGATCTCGCGATGAAAATCAGTATTGTCAATTTCTTGAGCTAGAATTAGCATTATCTTTGATTCGATTTTGAAAGATATTGATCTGTCAGTCATCGTCTTAATTCATTATCAGACTTTCTACTGGGTAAATTGCAGAATGATGTTAAAGCGCCAATTGACATCAAGCTAATCGCATATCTTCAATTGAGTCTTTAATAAACCTTGCAAATATTTCCTAATTGATTTCAAAGGTTCCCAAGATTTGAGTTAATATCTATGACAAATTGTAACAGCGACTGTCGATGCCTTTTACCATACATGGTAGTCAAACAGACCTGACTAGATTTCAATAATCATTTTTTCTACAGGGAAACAAGTGATTGTAAATTTGTCTGTATGAAGAAAATGTGCAGTAAACACATTCTACAAAACGACCATTGGTTGACCGCGCTAGCTCACCTATTAAGAAAGTTATAGGGTCAGAAACATGCTTCACAAACAAGAAAACTAACCGTATAAATCGGCCTACATGGCGATGTTTTCAGTAAAAGTTCCGTAACTTCATCAAAACAAAACAATTTCCAGTCGAGTTTTTTTATCAGAAATGATTGCTCTTGGCTACCTAGCTGCAACATCAAAACTTCGATCACATTCATCGTTTTTTGCTAGGTACACTATCAGAAATGTGGTTGTCGATTTCTGAAATTTTTCTTCAAAGCACATCGAATTTTCTAAGAAAGGGATGGCTATGGGTGTAGGTGAGGATGTGAGTGAGGGGTAGTGTACGTGTCTTAATAAGATTAGCGTAATACCCACATCCTAGCCTAAGTCACTAGAATATTTGAAATATACAGCTAGTTTTATTTAACAAGCGCGTTGGTTTTATTGGTTTTGTTTTTAATAAAATACTGCATACACTATTTTATATAAATATCTATATAAGGTGAGTTAAATGCCATCTGGATTTTAAATAGCAAAAACGAATATCATAAGTTTTATCTTTGATTTCAATAAAAAATGAAAATCTGTATATCATCTTAAGAGTATCGATGATTGAATATTGATATACAATGCCAGTAAATCGAACTTTAA